GCATTGCTTCTTTCTGTGTTAATGCTGAACTTGCTTTTTAATAGGATGTTTATAGAGGTAAACTACGGTGTTATGTAGCAGCACACTCTCATAAATAAGCTGTTCTGTTCATAAATTAAATGTATTTCACTTGTGAAGGTTTGTGACATTTTCTATTTGCAAAACATTTGTCTCTAACACTTCCTGACAGTAAGAAGACATACATGTCTATACAAAGATATTCACGTGCACACCCACCCCATCCACGTTCATTATTGAATAGGAATACACGTTCTTACAGGTTTTCAAGTGGATTCTAGTTATTACTAATCCCTTCAGGGAAGTAGGTGTCCAATTCATAGCTTCTCTTTGCACTAATTTAATTAATTTAGTTGCTGTTGTTGAAATACAACTCTCTGCAGAAATCTAGAGCAGATCTATCCCATGACAGTTGTTTAGCAACAAAAAATTTTGTAGAGGTAGTTTCATCTTGTAAGAAGCTGCATGTAGATTTACCTTCAGGTTTTTCCTTTAGGTAATGATAATCCAATTGCAGAGCCTTGGTTTCTATGTATGTACCTTGGCAGACTCCTAGAAGTTGACAGATGCAAATGTGTCTTGAAAGGTAGCTTGGATTAGGGTACAGTGCAAATTTAAAACATGATCCTACCTTTACACAGCAGCATCTTCCTTAATCTACTTCAATTTACCTTAAAGCAATCTGCTAGAACATTGAAAGAGCAAGGATGGAAAAAGTTTTTGCATCATTTAGGCTTCCAGAAGTAGTCAAGATAGATGAGGAGTTTGACATAGTAGATGAGGATTGGGTTAGGGATCAGTTGAGTAATCTGGACATCCATAAATCAATGGGTCCGGATGGAATGCATCCAAGGGTGCTGAGAGAGCTGGCGGAGGTCATTGTTAGGCCACTCTCCATCATCTTCAGTAAGTCATGGGTAACAGGAGAGGTGCCTGAGGACTGGAGGATAGCAAATGTCACACCAGTCTACAAGAAGGGCAAGAAGGAGGACCTGGGTAACTATAGACCGGTCAGCCTCACCTCCATCCCTGGAAAGGTGATGGAACAACTTGTTCTTGTCACTATCTCTAGGCATATCAAGGACATGGGGGTCATCAAGAGCAGTCAGCATGGTTTTAGCAAGGGTAAATCATGTTTGACTAACCTCATAGCCTTCTATGAGGAAATTACTAGGTGGATAGATGATGGTAGAGCGGTAGATGTGGTTTATCTTGATTTCAGTAAAGCATTTGACACCGTCTCCCACAGCATCCTTGTAGACAAGTTGATCAGGTATGGGTTTGGTGATCAGGTAGTGAGGTGGATCAGGAACTGGTTGAAAGGAAGGAGTCAGAGAGTTGTAGTCAATGGGGCAGAATCTGGTTGGAGGTGTGTGACTAGTGGAGTCCCACAGGGGTCGGTACTGGGACCGGTGTTGTTCAACATCTTCATCAACGACCTGGATGAGGGTATAGAATGTACCCTCAGCAAGTTTGCTGATGACACTAAGCTGGGAGGAGTGGCTGACACACCAGAAGGCTGTGCTGCCATTCAGAGAGACTTAGATAGGTTGGAGAGTTGGGCGGGGAGAAACATGATGAAATTCAACAAGGGGAAGTGCAGAGTTTTACATTTGGGGAAGAACAACACCATGTCCCAGTACAGGTTGGGGGCTGAACTGCTGGAGAGTAGTGTAGGTGAAAGAGACCTGGGGGTCCTGGTAGACAGGAGGATGACCATGAGCCAGCAATGTGCCCTTGTGGCCAAGAAGGCCAATGGCATCCTGGGGTGCATTAGAAAGGGTGTGGTTAGTAGGTCAAGAGAGGTTCTCCTCCCCCTCTATTCTGCATTGGTGAGGCCACATCTGGAGTATTGTGTCCAGTTCTGGGCCCCTCAGTTCAAAAAGGACAGGGAACTGCTCGAAAGAGTCCAGCGCAGAGCTACGAAGATGATTAGGGGAGTGGAACATCTCCCTTATGAGGAAAGGCTGAGGGAGCTGGGTCTCTTTAGCTTGGAGAAAAGGAGACTGAGGGGTGACCTCATCAATGTTTACAAATATGTAAGGGGTGAGTGTCAGGGGGACGGAGTTAGGCTTTTCTCAGTGATGACCAGTGATAGGACAAGGGGTAATGGGTGTAAATTGGAGCATAGGAAGTTCAAGGTGAATATCCGAAAAAATTTTTTTACTGTGAGAGTGACAGAGCACTGGAACAGACTGCCCAGGGAGGTTGTGGAGTCTCCCTCACTGGAGACATTCAAAACCCACCTGGATGAGTTCCTGTGTGATGTACTCTAGGTGACCCTGCTCTGGCAGGGGGGTTGGACTAGATGATCTCTCGAGGTCCCTTCCAGCCCCTAAGATTCTATGATTCTATGATTCTATGATTCTATAAGTTATACATTTGGTCTAATGTTGGAAACAAAGACCAAGGCATGTTGCTATCAGTGGACTGATAGATTTGGAAGAGAAACAGAGAAGGTAATCTGGGGGAACACTGGAGGTGAAAACTTTTTGTAGATGGCAACATTTATCTGTCACCATTAACTGACTTCTGTTCAGGAGAGTGACTTAGTATCTACTTTTTTGCTTTATGGGTGATTTATCTGTATCTAATGTTCAAGAGGCTGTAGATGAGCCCAGCAGTATAAACTTAAAAGTTATAAGTCATACTAGTTTTCTACTTTGACTTCTGATTTTGAGATGTGAATCTTACAAGTTAAGAAGTATCAATTATGAGGAAAGAGGGATTTAAGCTAGGCCAACAGTTAATGGACCTGGATGCATTCCTATGTGATGTACTCTAGGTGACCCTGCTCTGGCAGGGGGGGTGGACTAGATGATCTTTCGAGGTCCCTTCCAACCCCTAGGATTCTATGATTCTATGATTCATCAAAACCAAAAGCTGACAAACTCTCTTCACTGCAAGTTGTGGGCTGTGCTCAGTGTTCCATAGAAAGATCTGACTCTCACACAACTGTTTCCCAAATGTAACCTAAACAAGCCAAGTCCTTTAGTCTGCAGCACGATTAGCTAGGCTTCTCAGCACCAAGGTGATTTTCTAGTCCCAATAAAGATATAATCCATTCTGTTTCTCAAAAAGCGTAAGCAAGATATCAAAGATGCCCTTTTACATGGAAAGTTTTTTAAACCAGTGTCCTGGGCTTGCCTAAGGTTTGCATTGTGAATTGCTGGTGCAGTTAACTGAAGACATTTTTAGCAGAGGGCTGGGTATGAATTCAAAGCTTTTGGAGTCTTCTGTGAATCATGGTTTTACTGTTTGTTCAACATTGTCTTACCACTGCTGTCCTGCAAGGATTTTGTGATAGATGTTATAGGGCTTTTTAAAGCCAGACCATTTTGTAGTCTCTTTTCTAGCTCATGAGCTTTTCTAGTTTTTTTTAATTTTAAAAAGCCAAGCTGACTGTTGGGCAGTGACATCCTTGAACTAAGTTTGCATTAAGCTGCCTATTTTCAAATTTATAGGTGAAGCCAAGCCTTCCAATGCTGAATTTAGTAGTATCTGATTACTGTTACCAGTATGTTCTAGCCTCTCTTTATTTCAATAAATGACTGAGGAATAGCCAAGGAAGTTTTTCCTGTGTGGGGACTGTTCTTTGCTTACTTAGTGCTGCAGGAATTAAAATTATTATTGAGATGTGGTGTTTGCTACTGCCCCCAAGATGGCAGTACAGCACATCATATAACTGTTTTGCTGTGAATACAAGAGTACAAGATCTGTAAGCAGTATCTTACATTCGTCAAGCAAAATGCTCGAGTGCTTGTCCATTCCATTTTTACTTACTAGATTAGTTTTTCTTCTGGTCCAAGTAAATATATTATTTCATTCTACAAACTCTGCTGCATCAATATTGTTTTCTTGGACTGGAAGCTTTCTGTCAGGCTGCTGTTCAGTGATGTCTACTCTGAACTGATGAAAAACACACATTTTGATCCTTTCAATGTTACACTTCTGGAGAAGAATAAGTAGGTCTATAAGCACAGTATTGGAAAAGGCAGAATTTTTGTGGTGAGTGTGTACTAGCAGAAAATTAATTTACTGAGTTCAGTTTTAGTCACTTTATTGAAGGTTTTAAATCTCAACATATGCCTAGAAAGTCATGTTTCATACAGTGTGATTCATATGGCTTCCTCCATGAAAACCTCCTCCTTTCTGCATATGCTTAACTGAGTGTGAGGTATGTGACCTGAAATTATTGTTACCTTTCTTTTCCATTGCGAAATGCCTTGAGCTTGATGCTGACCAAAATACACATTTGCTCACTGCGATTCTTCTGCTACAGTTGAGTTGCAGTGCTTATGATAGAGTTACTGCAGCAATCAGTATGTATTCAGATACTTTTGCTTTCTGATGGTCACAGGTAAGAAGCTGTTACCAGGAACTGTGAACCCAGAAGTAGTCATGTGTGTCAGCTTGATGGAGTCCCACTCAAGGTAGTGGGCTACTTGCAGAAGTGAAATAACAGGACTATTTTGTAGAATATAGATCCTTTTCTGTTGAAATATACCGATGCAAAATGTGGTTGTCTCAACCGATTTCTGCATGGTATGAGGTTAGAGCAATACCACTGGCTTAGTGGCTTCTCAGAGAGTATCCTAGGCCTCAAGATGCAGTCACTAGTATTTGTTAATTATCATAATCCAATTACTTGACTCAAGAGGGTTTCTGGGGAGAAAAATAGAGGGTTTTTTTTTAGACTATGCTGTCTTAATTGCCCTCCTTTCTATTTCTCTAAGTGTATTGTTCACACTAGAATATCTGCTTCATCCTGTCACTGGGGTGTCTCAGTTCAGGTCAATCTCATCTGCAATGTGTAATTACAGGTATGACGCAGGAAGGCCTCTTCAGGGTAAACGGCAGCATGAAAACGGTGGAACAGTTGCGTCTGCAGTATGAGCGTGGAGAGAAAGTGGAACTCGTTAAAGATGGTGATGTTTACTCAGCAGCCAGTCTGTTAAAATTATTTTTGAGAGAGTTGCCAGATGGGATAATCACCTCTGCCTTACATCCCAGGTTCATTCAGCTTTACCAGGGTAAGAAAGAGGTAAAATCTCCATCCTTTAGTGCACATTCCTTCTGGATAATTGGTTGTGTGGTGAGCATAACCAATACTCTGTTTTTCTTAGTTTACCTACTTTGTTCTGCATTTCCTTTGACTTTAGTGCTCACCTGCTCCCAGAGTGCTCACAGATGTGCAACTCTGTTACAAGAGACAGACAATTTTTTCTTATGTGTTTCCTGAAGTCTGGACTATTTGTGATTTTCTAATCCACCTATATCTGCTGAATATAAACAGAAATGATCAGCTGATTTCTTTGAGCAAGCTTGTAGACAATAGCTGCAGTCTGTATAGAACACAGATTTGCTTCTGTTTTGCTAGGGCAATTTCTAGTGATTTCATTCTAACATACTCCAAAAAGTTACAACTTCATCTGCTAATCAGATGGAATATCCATTGGACCCAAAGCATACGTTGTTTAGGTTTCTGTTTCTCACTAAGTAATATAATTGCCTATCAAAAAATCAGCCAGTTTGCAAGTAACAGCAGACTTTACAGAAAACAAACTAGACTTCTTTTTTCTTTCTTTATTTTTTCTCCTTCAAGTGATGGATCAACTGTAAGAAAGAATGTAATTTCTGCTTTAGAAAGTTGGAACTTTCACAACTATCAAGTGATTTCTCAATCTAATTAATCTGTAGCAGACAGTCTGTGTTGTTTTTACGTGGAATAGATGATGGTTGGCCCTGTTCCTTGTCTGTGTGGGTCAGTGGCAGTTTGTTTCTTTTGGTACAGGTGGTTGATACCTCTTTTGCAAAGTGAGAGGGCAAACGTTATTAGAGTTGTGCTCTTTACGGTGAAGTAGGCAAATGTGATGCGTGATGCATGATGCAGAGCAGGAATATATACTCTGACATGCATGCCCAGTGGAAGACAGTGCAAAGTTCTCACACTGTTGTCCTGAAGTCTCCCTTCCACTGTTCCTGCCTGCAGTGGAGCTGTTAGCCATTTTCTGGAGGAGGGAGAACACAACCGTGTCTTCTTTCCTGTTTGGGGCTGTACAGATTGTTGAGGTGCACTGGGGAAGAGCAGGCATTTCAACTGTAATCAGGTTGTATGTGGGCTGTGTAGAATACCTCCCTGATTTAGTAAAGTTCTTTGGGGCTCAAGGATAGGGTTCAGGAAGTGTTGTGTAGGAACCTGCTGTTGTTTCAGAAAGTCCCTTTTTTCTGGTCATAGCTGTGCTTTCTTTTGAGTCTTGTAGATTTCACCACATCTGACACGAGCCATATTTAATTATGTTCTTTCTCATAAACCACCATTTAAGTGGAAATTTTCTTAAGTTTGCACCTTTGCTGTTCCACATCCTTGTCCCTACAAAGGTCATATTGGCATATTGCACCAGGAACTACTGATGTACTTTGTGAACGGTGCTGTTCATGGAAAATTTAGCTTATTTCTGCTTCCCACAGGAAATGCAAAATCTCCCCAGTTCTTTCTATGGAAATGAGATAGATACCCTTACTTAGCAGAGGTACCCACCACACTTTCCTGTTTCAAAAAACAGTAACTTACAAACGCAGTTCTGCAAGTTAGTCCAGCTATGACGTGTCTTCGTAGCTAAGTTTGCCTGTATTGTACAATAAGCCCCAGTTATATTCCCATTATAATTTTGATTGGCTGTTACAGAAAGGAGGGGGGTTTTGTAAAGTTTGAAGAAAACTGAGGGTTTCCTGAATGAGTTGTTTTAAAAGGTGCTGCTTACTTTCACAGGATTCAGATTAGCTTAAGTGGCAGATTGGCCTTTATTTACAGTTAAATGATCAACCAGCTATGCAGGATTGGAGGAGTTATCTATTCACTTATCAAAGTATGTACAAGGGTATTTATTGCAAAATGGTACCAAGAGAGTGCATGCCTGGGTGTTCTTTGTGTAAACTCAGAAGAAAGTAGGTCACACTCTT